GGCAGACCTCTCCTGACCCGCCCGCTGCTCCCCTCAGCAGTGGACTTCGTAGATCTTCCTATTCTGCTCCCTGCTCTGTCTCTGATGAATCTTCTCACCCTCCACATCTCTGGCCTGTACCCCAGTTCCACATGAATAAATACATAAATTAAAAAAAAAAAAATCCCCGCCTTGACAGGGTCTTGGCTTTCTCTCTTTCTTCTCTGCCCTCAAAGCAGGCTCAAGGTTTCCAGTTGTAGACAAAAACTCTGTGAAAACAGGCACTGGGGTGCTCCCTGCATTTCTAAGTTTCACTTCACATTTAGCTTAGTATCTTAGTGTCTTTGCATTTCAACAAAACAGTTTCCTGTTAGGACCAGCTCTGAAAACCTCTTCATTAGCAGAGTATAAGAGATTATTAGGTCACCCTATTGCCAGCAAGACAAATTATTTTCTGGCTTGTTGAATTTTAAGGTGGTGTGAATGATAAAGTATCCCAAGCAAAGACTGATGTCCTGTCCCTCAAATGGAGCAGATAGAAGCAGAGTTTGGCAAGTTCCTTACCCAATATTAAAGACAAACAAAAACTAGGACCTGTTTCTCAAATTACTGGAATTGTTTATCAAATAGAAAAAAAAAAAAGTTCACAGCTGAGAATATTGCAGTGAACTAAATGGAAACTTTCTTTGATCGCTCTCAAGGACAGTGCTCATGCCTGAGTTTCTCATGGGCTCATTAGAGGCCTACATTAGAAACTAGTTTAGAAATGAGAGGACTTGGGCAAGGATATGAATTAAGTCACTGACCTATAAGCTTAACAAGTGAGGAAGTCCTTCCTGGCTAAGGAATGAGATGCGGAGCTCAAGCTAGTACATCTCCAGTCTATTAGCACAACAGGAGTTTGATGATACCTGATGAACTTGGGGGTCTGAGAGTTTGTCGCCAGCATCCGTCCCCATATGTATAACTCCCCTAGCATATTTCTTTTAATTAAGGACAGTAATTAGTGTCGGGTAGGCCCAAGATCTATTTTCCAGAGAAAGAATTTCTCAATTAAAAATTACAAATACAGCATCATGCCGCTTTATCTAAATTTGCCATTTCCTTTTCATCCTACTTATGCTTTGTCTCCACATTGTAGATGTTCATTTCTGTGTGAGTCTGATTGTCAGGGATGACTTGGTCACCTCTGTGGGTTTATAGCTGAATAGCTGCTACTATTTCATGTGAGATGTACCAATTTTAGTTTGCCATCTCACCAAAGGAAGTCAACTCAAATAGGAACAGAATTCTGGGGCTCACCAGGCAAAGCCCTATTTTTTGAATATGTCAAATGAAATAAAGATCAAGTTACAATGATCTGAGAATTTTCCCACAAAGTCATTCAGTTCACTGAAATGTTTATGTAAAATAAAAATAGCCTAAGCTCTAATGCATAAATAGCGGATCACATGCTTGTTCAAATTATTGGAAAACGAGTATTTATCATGCCAAGGTGCTGGCACTGGGGTGGAAGGTGACCCAGGCATGGGAACTGGAGGAATTTGTAGAGTGGAAGGAGTGTAACTGGAGAGAAATACTTAGCACTGCTGGTTAACATCATTTCTACTCAGAGCCTTCTATGAAACTTTTCCAAATTTTTGACTGCAAAGATGAAGACAGAAGAAAACTCCAGAGACCCGAGAATAAGATAAAAACTGAGAGAAACGTAGGCAGAAATGTTGAAGTATTAACATTTTTAAAGACAGATAGGTTGGACAGGGGAAAAACTCACCTTAGTTCCTGACTTATCCTAAATATTGATAGAATTTGTTCTAAACAATAGAGTGACAGGTCTCTCTCTGTTGGTGCAACATGTTAAAGCGCAGCACTATGAAGCAATCTGCAATCACTGCAGTGCAAGATCGATCCCTGAACAGGGAGGTGACCCACATAGTGCAGCAGACCTCTCCTGACCTACCCACTGCTCCCCTCAGCAGTGGATTTTAGTAGACCCAACTGTTTTGTTCCCCAATCTGCCTCTGGTGAATCCTCTCACCCCAACCCCTTGCCCGTCTGGTCTGTACCCCAGCTCTTACTGAATAAATAAGTAAATCTTTAAAAAAATAATCATAGAGTGATATGCTGCTTACTAGAAGCACCTGTTCTGAGAAGTGCGTGGTGAGGAGATTTCACCATGTGAACAACACAGAGTGTCATTACCCACACAAACGAAATGGCCACCCCCTGCCCACGTAGGCTTGTGGGATCGCCTGCCGGGTCCACCATTGTGTATGGGGCCCCTTGACTTTGCATTTCTTAGTCGCTTAGTAATAAACATTGCATGTTGGCCCAATAGAGCACAGACATTTTATGAATGACACATGTTCTCGTGGGTTCATACTGAACATCATTTTCTGACTGCTGCAGTGGAGAAGCAGAAAGCTGTGCAGTGAGGAAAGTAGAACTGACACAAACAGGGGCTGTTGGGCATTCTAGACTCTTGCTGTGCAAGATGAGGGCCTGGCCCTGCTGCTAACACAGGAGCTGAATTTTAAAAATCAAACAGCTTCATGGAGATACCCACTCTCTGGATAGTTCGCCGTCTGCACTGCATAATTCAATGTCTTTGTAGATTCACAGAGTCATGCCGCCATCATTGTTACAGGACGGGAAGAGGGACACCCCAGAACCTCCAAAGCTACTTGTTCTAAGTAGATTCTCCTGCCTGCACATTGAGACAAAATATACTCTAGTGAATATGACCTTAATGGAAAGGAGTACAATTCATGTGCAACAAAGGAAAGGGGAAGAATAAAGTTTCCAAATCAAGTACCCAATTCCCCATCCCCTCGAGAGTACATGCCCAGCCAACAGGGTTGTCCTGGAGGAGGGCCTCTGGGGCCCAAAGCTGCCACAAGTCTAAGGCACTTCCTGGTGGGGACCCATGGGAAAGTGTCAGGAAAAGCCAGACAAGTCTGGGAGGAAGAGAGCAAAATCAAAATCAAGATCAATGCTGCCATAGCCAACCTCCCCACGGGTCTCTCGCCCACGTCTGCTGACCGGCCCAGAACCAAGAAGCAACACAGCTTCTTCACGCGTCTCTGCTCCACACACATCCCCCAGGTCTGCTGCTGGCCCCATCCTGCCTCCTTCCCTCCAAGCCTCCTCTCCAGGTGCTCCTTCCTGCTCAGCTCCGCCCTCACCTGGGTGGGCCAGAGAAACTGGACGCCCCCCTCCTGTTTTCTGGGGACCCCCATCATCACAGTCTTAGTAGGACCTTTGCAATGTTCTAAACTACACGGGATAATAGAAGGTCGTGAGAGGAGCACCTCCTACAGTGACTCATGTTTCCCTCAAACCCCAGTGTTGACAAGCAACCTGCCTTCTGTCTACATACTTCCCATTATCGACATTCTTCATGTAGATGAAATCATATGGTGCATTGCCCTTAGCCTCTTTTACTTAACGGGATTTTGACCTTCCTCAAGGTCACGGTGTGCACACTACGCCACCCTTCCTCGCCTAGGATGCCTGGTGGACTGGACGAGCCTCCTCACCTTGCTGTGCGCTCCCCAGGCAAGTGGATTGGGTCTTCCCATCTGGGGCTGTTGTGAATGGTGAGTGGAAGTTTTATGGGGATCAAAGTTTTTATTCAATTGTTTTCATATAACCTCGTTGGTGAGGGGGGTGTCGGTGGAGGGGGTTGGGGGGGGTGGCGCTGGGTGTTTCATTCATACTGGAACTGGGAGCTGTGTGTGTGGCGTTCTGAGGAAGTGCTGTTCTTCAGCGGCAGCATTTTACACTCACAGCAGCCACACATGAAGATCTGCTCCCCTCACAGCTTTCTCAGCTGTGCTATGTTGTGTCTTTTTTGACTATGGTCATCCTAGCCAATGTGAAATAGCATCGCCCTGAAGCTTTGCGCATTTCCTGATGACTGTGGAGCATTGATTTCTGCGTGAGCCTGTCCCTCTCTCCCTTCTCACCCCCACCATTCACATTCTTTGCCCAGTTCCTGATTTCCTGATTTATTCTCTGGGTGGTTTGTTTTCAGAAGTAAGCACATAAGACATTGTCTATGTGCCAAGCCATGATCACATCCAAGATTTGCGGGCATTTTCATCCTTTACCTTGGAGTGCTTTGCTTTTTTTTGTGTCCTTTCCTGCTCACAGAAGCTTTATTTATTTATTTATTTTTAAAGATTTATTTATACATTCAAGAACTGGGGTATTGACCAGAGATGCACGGGGTGAGAAGATTCACGAGAGACAGAGCGGGGAGATCTGCTGAGGGGAGCAGCGGGCAGGACAGGAGAGGTCGGCTGTGCCCTGTGGGTCACTCCCTGGCGAGGGATCGAGCTCTTGCTGAAGTGGCTGTGGTTGGCTTTGTAGTGCTGTGCTTTAAACCATGTGCCCCAGGGAGGGCCTGGTACTTAATGTTTTCATAAGGTAAACTCCAGATTATCTATTTCCAAGTAGATATAAACATAGACAGGATTCAGACCTACATGGAGACATGCTACAGACATCGATAGGTGTGAGGAAGAAGTAAATGAGGGCCCTTGCCCAGGGTCACTATTGCCAGCTGGCCACTGGCACCACCAAGCCGTGACTTACTCCCACCTCTCTGTTACTCTGTCATCGAACAGTGAGTCTCCACTGTCACAGCTTTGCCTCTTGGGACATTTGCATTATGTGAAAACATGTTTGTTGTAGCAACTTGGGTGCACTGCTGGAGACTAACGGATAATGTAAGACATAATGGAGAGACCAAGAGTGCACCTTCATACCGACCATGCGGCAGGATCTTCACAGGGCCCAGTACCCGGATCTCAAGGTGAGCAGTGTGTGTTTCAGAAACAGCTCCAGGACTGAGCAAAGAACTCCGTACTGTGATTAACCAATGGCAGAGTGGTTAACTGCTGCCATGAATTTCATCAAGATCCAATGACTCAAATTTAAATCCTAATTATGTAAAGCACATCTGGTTATTTAATGAAGAAAGTATTTGTCTCTGGGCAATTTTCTCATAGGTTGATATTCCCAAGGAAATTTCCTAAGATGTTCACTCTCTTAGAGAGGTGAATTCACTATAATTTCACAGTCTCCTAAGGATGAGTTAATCCGATGCTTACCATGAGCATACGTAATACACCTAATTGTTCTTGTCAGAACCTAAACATGGGTGTCAGAACAAGGTCAGAAGCATGAATTTCCATGTTGAAGGACAGAGCAGGCTGTAGCATCAGCTGGGACATGCCTGTGCTGGCTTCATGTTTCTACTTAGATCGAACACTTCGCTTTAAGACTTCTGTGTAGACATCACAGTTGGCAGAACACAAACACTTACGTTTTCCACAACATGGATGGAAGTGGACGAGACTAAGTTAAGCCAAGTAAACCAGAGGAGAAACACATTTACCAGATGACTGCATGCATGCGTGGAAGATAGAGAAACAGAACAGCCAGAATAAAACTACACAAATCCTAGAAATCTAACAGCGGAATGGAGGCTTCCAGAAGAGGGTGGGACAAGTGAGCAAAGGCCGTAGGAGGCCCCATGGGCTCTGGGGGAGGATTAGGGGTGCGTTGGTGGTGGGTGTGGTGTGGTAAACATCTGAAGAGGAGTGAGCCTATTCCTCTGAATCCTACCCAGTGTTGTAAAGCAACTTCACCTCAGCAAAAGATAATATAATCTGAAAAAAGAGTTGCCACTAAAGGTAGCTTTATTTATTTAGCGTCAGGGGCTGCTTCAAGCACTTTCTGTCTATGGCTCCTTAGCCGTGGAACGTCCATTTTATAAATGAAAGACCTGAGGCTCAGAGAAAGAATTCTCTAGCACACAAGACCCAGGCAACTAACATGAGGGGCTGTGGAGATAGTGACATCATTATTTAACATTTCAACATTGAAGAGGCTCAAGGGGTCGGGCTGTCCCAGGAGAAGGAGAGAAATGAGGACACGTGGGTGGTGAGCAGTGGGAACACACCCATCTGGCTGCCAAGGTCGCCATCTTGTGGGCGGAACTGGACAGTCCACTGATCACAGCTGAGCTTACTACACAAGAGCACAACGCGGAGTCCGCAACGCTGCAAGAATTACTGAAATGTGTCTCAGAGGTGAAGTGAACTGATGGTGCTGGGAAGCGGGGCCATGGACTTATTTGATGCCGGTTACTACACACGTCACTTGGCAAAAAAATCAGATACCAGTGCAGCTCAGTAAGGCTAAGTGTGTAAGTGGGGTGTGCCTGTCATCTGAAAGCCTCTCCCTCGACTTTCAAATGCTGCTTTCACGCTATGTGTAAGGAACTTCGTGTTGGTAGTTGCTTCTTCCTGTCCTCTTTTGCCTTGGGCATTTTCTGTCGTTAGTTCATCGAGAAGCTCTTTTATGTCTTCTGCCTTCACCCTGCATCAGAACACTTCCCGCCAGCTGGGTCTTGTCACTGCATTCCCACCAGCCCCCACCTCCAGGGCCAGCGGGTCTTTCTGGGGCTCAACGACGGCAGCTCCCTGTTCCTGCCAGTGACTGAAATCATGAGTTTTGACATACAATTTTGTATGCTGATATTTTTAAAGATTTATTCTATTTATGCATTCAAAAACTGGGGTGCAGGCCAGAGATGTGGGGGGTGAGAGGATTCACTAGAGACAGAGCAGGGAGCAGAACAGGAAAATTTACTGAAATACACTGCTGAGGGGAGAAGCCTGGAGACAGGAGAGGTCTGCTTCGATGCTGTGGGTCAGTCCCTGGCTGGGGATCGAACTTGTGCTGCAGTGGCTGCGGAGAGCTTCATAGTGCTGCGTTCTAACCCCTTGCACCAGCAGGGTCAGCCCTTGTATCATTAAATATTTTCTTTTGGGGGGTACACTAAAATATCCAAGTGGGTCAACGGCATTCATTTCCTGTTATTGTGGAGGTTCTCAGTAGCATCTGCCTTTTGACTGTCTGTGGGCATGCCACTCAGGGTTTCTGTTCGTTTTGCTTGAAATTTTACTTTGTGATGCTTACAGTTCACACTATTGTCACTTAATTCACATTAAGCTTGTGGCTGATCTGGTTGGTGTTTAAGCCTTTTCCACTCACTGAGTGCAGTTGCAAAGGTTTGTATGGGAAGCTTTGCATGACCCTAGTGAATGAGGAAACAGTCAGATGATTTCATTCTGGTGAGTTCACTTGTGATCCAGAGAGGGTATTGTGGTATTGGTTTTGATAAAACTTCACAACCAATAGGAATCTTGTTTGAGTTCATGCGGAGTGGCCTTCATGCTGGAAATAATCGCGTTGGCTAGGACCCCAGAACTACACAGATGAGAAAAGGATGCAGGACCTTCTGTTGTTTACACATGTGTCTGTAATTCAGAGCCGCCAGAGCAGCCCAGCGAGTCCAGAGGGTAAGATGCTTAATAATATTGTGGTTTTCGATTTAATTTTTATATATTTTCCTATTTTCCTGCATGTGTTGTTCTCAGACCAAAAAAAAAAAAAAAAAAAAAAAGAGTTGCTTATGTGATGCAGAATAAAATTAGCGTAAGCCTGGGAGAGAGGGGTTTGGAGTCTCTCCTTAAAGTGAATTTGACTTCCTCTCTCTCTTCCATTTCCATTGGTGTCGTTTAACCTGACAGTCATTCGTGGCGTGTCCACAAATATAACTGTGTACGAAACAAAACTCAGGTAAGAATTCCAGCTCTAAAAATAGGCAGTCATATAATAGGTTGATTAAAACTTTATAGTTCCAAATAAATATGAGTGTGTCCATGGGCTGAAATCATCTGTATTCTTAAAATTGAAGAGAGTAATTTTTTTCTGTAAATTGTTCATGCTTCATGTCACTTACAGTTATTTTCATTTTGCTTGTGCACTAGGGGAATTTCTGTCACTGTTTACATAAAAGTATATTTCAACCTTACTTAGCACTACTACTGACTTTTTTTATGTTACCTGGATAGTGTGGAGGACATAAGGACATAGAATAGAATAAAATAACAAATTCCTTTATTACAAAAAGGAAATGGGTATTTATCTATGTGGAAAATGTTTATAGAAGTTACCAAAGAAAAATAAGAATATTGAGAAACTGTTGAGAAGCATTTGCTTATGTTTCCTGCAAAGATTAATTATAAGATGAATGTTGACTAAGCTTATTAATTAGGAAGATGTCAGTAACACATGGCATTAAACTACACGACAATATTCCCTGATATTCTCATCTACATAAACTCTAGTTTTCTATTTTAAAAATTATGTGGATACATTTTTGTTAATAATCCTGTAGGACAACGTATCATGACAAGTTTTGACTTAATGTTTTACTGTGAATCATTTTCTGATGAAATAGCCTTCTATATACTTTAAATATTTCTGTATTTTTATATAAGCACTAAATTAAAAGGAGTCTTAAAAAGCCCGTGATGCAATGTTTGGATAAAGGTTAGGTGACTGCCATGTCAACTTAAACTATTAGAAAACTGGCTTTATGTGAATTAGTTCCCCACAAAAATCTTTTAAAAATTGTTTTTCTTATGTTCATTCGTCTGTCCCCCTTTTGCATTCTCCATTTGTTTTCATTGGATTCACTGGCACAGAGTTCTTGGTCTCTGCCTACGCCTACGGGTGT